CCCCCCCCCCCCCCCCCCCCCTGACGTTGGTACGCCGCAATCAATTCCCGTTATATTCGGGAACTCTCGGGACTGGTTGCTTGAACAGATGCTCACTTCTCCAGCTTTCTTGATGCGCCTCATCATGCTTCTGAGAGAACCAAAGCAGAAGGATCAGCTCATTCCACTTTTGCAACACCTCTGTTGGCGAAACCAGGTGCGTATATGTATCATACGTAATAGCTTGTTCTTGTCGTGACTCATGACATCACAGCCTCTTGATAGCCTCTTGTTTTGTTGTTGTTGTTGTTGTTGTTGTTGTTGTTGTTGTTGTTTTTGCGTCGACTCGCTCCTGTGGCATGGTGGCTTTGATGCACCCTACGCTTTGCTAGACCAGACGATGCCATGCCGTGCGATGCTGTGCTAAATTGAGGAAAAATTTATACCACGCTTTTTCTTGCGAGAAGACGACGTGGAAGAAGCACGCAGAGACAGGACAGGAAGAAGCCTCGACGTACGTGCGTTTCTCGAGCAAGTGCTATCAAGGTCGAGAACGAGGAACCTCGTGCCCTTCCGACCAGTGATTCTTTTTCAGGCGATCCCGACCCAACCGCGTGTCCGTTGCTCCCTCATCGTCTGACGATGCACGTTTCATCTTCTGCGCCGCAGCTCGTTACGAAGGTGGTCATCATCAACATCTGCCAACGCATCGAGATTCTCCGCGACGTGGATGCGCACCTGTCCAAGCCGGGATTCAGGGCTCTCATGATTATCTTGTCAGAGGTGAAGGATAATTTGTTCGCTGTCGCCCGAGACCCTTTGGTTGCATGATTAGATGATTAGAAAATAACATAACCCGCACGAAGAAGAAGGGCGTGTTCGCTGAGCCGAGTAGAGCTGATGCTGTGCTTTCTTGGTTGATTGGTGCGTTCTCTGTGGCATTCAAGTATCCAAGCCGTGTCCTAGAGCCTAAACATCGCCATGGGGCGTTGCGTCTGATCCTGTCTTTGATGGGTGTACCATGAATGTTTGATGGGTCTGTCATGAATGTTTGACGCAAGTGTCATGAATATTTGATGGATGAGACATGAATGTGTCTGACAGGTGCCGGACGGGCTGCAGCAGTGGCGACTTGACCTGGCCGTCTCCCGCGTCCTAGAAATCATGGAGGAGCACACGACCCTGACAGTGGTGACGGAACAGGTGAGTGAACGGCCCAGCTATTGACTTGACAAGTCCGTCTCGGCAGGCAGGCTCGGAGACACGCACCTGCACCTGTACGGCTATCACGTGCAAGTTCATGGGGTTGATGCGCTTGACCATCAGCCATCGAATTTCCTCCTCTCGCTGCAGTTCACTACTGACACCCCCTCACTTATTTGTTTCGGTGGCAGGCCGTGGAGATGTTGGTGCGCCTTTGCCGCGCTTCGACAGGTGCGCGGCGATGGCTGGCGGAACACTGGGATAGGCTAGATTGGGTGAGCGATCGATCAGACAGGGCGCAATATATCTAGTAGGACAAGCATCCCGTTGAGTTCTTGATGCCGATCAGGCGGCACGCGCTAGACGAAAAAAAGCAAGAGCAAATCGTCCGCTATGAAAAGGACGAGTCGGAGGGTGGTCCAGTTGTTGGTGCGTTCAGAGGCCCGTGTCAGGACTACACACGGTACCGCTTGTCGTAAAAAAACAGCGCTGACAACCGTATGGTAGCTCTACTTCGAGGTTGCTTTACAAACAGCACGGTTAATGCCCCCTGTCCCCGTTCCGTGCTTGGATTTGTTCGATTGATCTGCGCACCACTGCTGTGTAGATGGAGTCGTGGTTGAACCAGGCGATGCTCGCCAAGCAGAAACACGGCGCCAACGCGGGTTCCCGGTACTACGGGGCTAGGATGAACGGCCCTCCGACTAGCGTGTCGGAAGACAAGGTGGGTGTTCACTGGCGTGAGAAGTGGCGCAGGCTTTCGATGTTCCATCATTCGTGAAGCATCGTAGGAACAAGTTGACCAGAGGTTGAGGAGGAGCACTCGAAGGAGGAAGACGGGTGTCTCCTCCTCTGCGGTCTCTCCCCTTGTACGGACGGGCGCTCTAGAGTCGGTTGACCAATGAAAACACGCCGGTCTTGACGGGACCAATGGGTTGAAGTGCGTTTTTCATAGACCACGCCTGCCGACGAACCATTGGAAAACCATGTTTGTAGCTGAAGCACGAAGGTGCTTCTAACTGTACGGTAGTCGTGGCCCCGTAGATGGCGGATGGGGGGGGAAGGTCCATTCCCCGGACTGCAGAGTCGATACACGAGTGCTGGACATTTTGCGGGGTGTGTGTCCCGCTCGCTATGGTACAAGTGCCGGCAAGAATATCTTCAATTGACGAGACCCGCCTCGCGTACTTGAAAGCGCGGCCTTGCTCTTTTGCTGCAATCGGTTGCATTGTCTCACGTCTCCCACGCTCTCGCGCATGCCATGACTCACGTCGTAAGCGCAAGTCGTGCTTGTAACTTGACTGAAGGCGTGTTTTCATTTTGGTCCCTTGAAACTTCGCGTCGCGGTGACGAACGGACGACACGTAAGTCATACCCCGGGGTATGGCACGAGGAAGCGTTGGCAAGCATCCGGGCCGTGCGGAGAGGGGACGAGATGCCGGCGTGTGGCTACGACAGTGATGATGACCCTCAAGTGCTCCTAGAAAAGCGCATCAAGGTAAGAGTAAGAGAGAGAGAGAGACTTACCCGTGGGCATGGTTTGATGCAAGGGGCGTTTATGATGGCACGGGTAAATGTTGTGGCTGCACGTGGGGCGTCTGGTCTCGCATCAATGGAACCAATCTACACGCTCCCGGGCTAAAGTGTAGTGCATCGCGCCACGGTGGCCTGTACGGACTTTGCCATCAAGGTCCTGCTATTCGCCAAGCGCACAGCCGTCAATTTCCGGTGTCGCCCCAACGAAAACCGGTGCTGTGCCCCTGGTGCGTCGCGGGTATCATAGCTCCTTTACTCTCCACGCAGGCTTGTGGGGTCGCGCCAACTTGGCTCCAACATGCAACACCTGTCATTGGAATTGAGGGCCTCGCCTCTTTCAGCTGATACCATTCCTTCTCTCCCCCACAGGTCAAATGGCGAGGAGAAATGTGGTATCCTGGAACAATCACGGAGTACAACCCTGACACCAACCAACACACGTGTGTCTACGACGACGGTGACATCAAGCACTACGTGATGCCCACGAAGGCTTGGCGGTTTTTACAGGAGCAATGAAGGGGGCGTGACTATTGTAGCGCGCCTTGGTTGCCTAGAAGCGAGAATGGCAGCAGAAACTCCCGGATGGGCCCACAACAGCAGTAGTTGCTCGATCTCGGCGAAGAGGAACGTGTGTCGCCGCCAAAATGGGGGCTACGCGATATCGCGCGCCACCCGGTCCTCTGGCCCTTTTTGTTTTTGCCTTTTCCGAGGCGAACAAATTGAGAACGTAACAGTAGCGGTCCGTTAATTTGGTTTTCGTGTGGAGAATGCTGTGGCTGCCCTCGTGGCTCTGTGTAGTAGTGATCACCTTACGCGGGACCTCTCGTTCCTCGTTGGTGTGTTTGTTTGAAAGTGGAATAATTGTGGAGTCGTTTTGTCGATGTGGAATTTTGGAACTCGACGTTCGGGGGGTGAAAAGTGAACATGAGTTGCGGGCGTTGAGGTACAAGTCAATGTTCATCGCGCCGCGCAACGGCATCAGCTACAGCAAGGCTAGACTACACAAAACGGTGAAAATTAAGTACAATCGAACATACACGGCTAAAACTACTCGCGCGTCCTGGAAACACACAGCACACGCCTACAACACTACAGCCTTCAACAAATACCTTTTACGACCGGAACATTCAACCAAGGGAACGACCGCACGTGGCCACACGAGACTACTGGCACCACACGACAGGTCCATGTATGATAAGCGGGTTACGCTACTTGAAACACCACCTTGAAGAGTTATTATTAGCTACGACGTGAAAGATTCGATGACTACATCGATTCTGCGCTGGCATATTGGGCACCCCATGTTGGCTTTCTTGATCCGCTTCCCGCAGGGCAAGCAGACGACCAAGTGGGCGGTCTTGCCGTGGACCAGGCAGGCGTTTCGTTTCTCCGCCATGCAAACGATGCACAAGGACGCTTCGTCCTCCTCCTCCTCCTCCTCTTCTTTTGTGGGAGAGTCGCCTTCGGCGCTGCCATGGCCGTCCTCCTCTCCCTCGGCGGCGATCAGTTCTTCCAGCTCTTTTAGGCGCTGCAATCGGACCGCCTCCTGCCACGCCCAAGAGGAAACGAAATAGACAACACCGTCAGCCTTTGTGACATACATGCGCGTTGCTCCAGCCTGAGGTCAGTGTAGACATGGAAAGCCTACACTACCGTGCTACGAAGACTCACCGCTTCCTTTGCCCGCTCCTTCCTGGCCTTTACGCGCCGAGCCTTTCGTTCCTGTGCCTGTGTGTTGCGAGAAAGAAGCGTCAAGTGTCTCACTTCAGATGTGTTGTCAGGCATGGGACTGTTGACCACGGGTGCAAGCCTGAGGCGAGTGCTCCTATCGAGGAATAACGTGAGGGACTTGCCAAAAGACATGCTTATAGGTGTGCGGCACCTTGGATCCCGTCGTACAGGAAAGCAATCACATAGCGGGGCGAAACGCTGCTGAAATAACGATGCGCCTTCCATTCCACAAGAAGACAACGCCGCGGAACGCGTTTCATGGGAATCCTTCTTGTACTTGCCCTCCAAAAGTTGATCGGTGATATCACGCGACCCGCCTCATGGAGACGACCGGTCAGACAGAAAACAGACGATCATTACTCGGGTGTGTACGAATCTCACATACTACTCGTTGCAAACGTCCAAGCATATCCGGGACATAAGAAACAAGTGGTGTGGCAGGTGGCTTGAATCCTCCAAGGCCACACGCCAAATGTTCTTGGTCCACTCGAGCTCAGACTTTCATTCCCGCGCGACAATCACCTCCTCAGCGCAAAAAAACACCCACTACACGCGATTCACACCAGACCCCGTTTGCAGGACCCTCAACGGTGTCCTCCACTATTTTACCGATGCGTGGTCGCTCGCGGACGTGTCTCACCGCCTTGCGCTCTCGCGTGGTCTTGCCATCTTCCTCCTGGTCTTTGGCGTTTGGCTGTCCATCTTGTGGTCCGGAGGCGGGTCTTCGTGCCGCGGCCTTCGCCTCGGCCATTTCCTTGTCGAGGCTTGAGTTCCGCACGTATGCATTTGACACAAACACCAGACACGGGACCCCAACGTTCAAAGGAACAAGGAGTGAAAGGAATTCGCCCTATCAATTTAGAGCGTGGATGAGGGAACGAGAGAGACCGCTACATAGAACATGCCAGCGAACGGCAAACACTAAGACTTTCGTCCTCCACGCCTCGCTCGTAGGCTGGGAAGCATCACAGGGTGTACTATGGTACGGCATCAACAGTACAGGGTTGAGACAGCAAGAGCGTAGAGATCCGACGTGAGCTATGTGGTTCGCGCACCCGGTCTCGGTTCGTGGAATCGTCCGGGCATTATTACGCTCGTATCAAGAGGTCAACGTGGTTTCAAGAGAGCAAGAAAGGCACGGGATAAAGGTTTTGCAGAAAGTTCCAAAAAGGGAAACAAGCGGGGATGAGTACGGTGACAGAGCGACATACTGATCTTTTTAAGAACGAGAGGGATGCGGTTGTCCCAATCAAGACTTGTTGGCTATTTCGGCAGCCACAGGGAAAGCAGGACGCGCCACGTACCTAACCAACCAATCGAACTTCTCGTCAAGACTCCGGACACGAACTGCCAATCGCCGTGAGCGTTCGGGGTCGTCGACCTGCAGCAGAAACAGAAAAAACACAGGGTCATCGAAACCGGCACTTTATACGAGAGAGACGACTTTCCTTCCCGCCAGATGTGTTCGTGGCCTCGTGGTCCTCTCTTGTTGTTGCGGGGACAGGGAAAAAAGTTCCCGGTTCGGCTTGAAGTCACCACGCGTTTCGAACCATAGACGTGGCATGCACCAAACGAACGGTTGCCATTGGCCACGTACATAGGTACAGGGGATGTTTCGTAAAATGTATACCCATGCATATATTCTTGCGACTAGCACCAGCTGACATCATCGAGCAAAATCCAGCGTATAGGCTAAAACCAACCCCAAACAAGCCCACTCACCGTCAAGACTTCGACACATCCCTTCTACTGCTGTGGTTGCATATATACCTCGACCGGGTTGTCTTTCTGTCAACGTATGAAATATTTCTGCAAAAAGGTCACTGGTGACGAACCCGCAAACGGTTGAAGGAGATGTTAACTCCCCAACTCACCCCGGCGCGCCTACCCTCCGCGTGGAAGTAAGGGTACTCCGCTACCATGCCGGTGAAATTTTCGGAATCCGCGGGGATCACGCAGCACTTCTCCTCCGCCAGCTCGCAGCGCGGCAGAACCCTGCGCCGTTTCGACTGCTTGACGGCCGATCTGCACGCAGAGAACCGGGCACTCGGCTTGCGGCCCTCCGTCTTCATGCATCTATGTCGGGTGGCGGCGGCGGCGGCAGCGGAGGAATTGCTACCCTCCTGCGGGGTGTAGCAGTGCACACACCGTTCCGCCGGGTGCACTTCGGAATCGCGGAACGTGTCGCCGCCTTCAATTGTCGACCCAGGAGGAACCTTAAACCTGACGGAATTGCGCGCAAGGCAGAGGACGGAGAGCGCGGTGCGGCAGGCTAAGCGGTCCTTTCGTACATGGAAATAAACCCTTACCCAGCAAGTTCATATCGGGGTTCTCTACGGCCAAGAGGGTCCAAACATATTTCTGCGCATCTCACCATGAAGTGTGCTCCTGGTCGACGATAAGTTCGGCCGCGACGGCAACCCACTTGGCACGGTGCCAGTTGACGTTCTCGGCGGTGGGATCCCTGCCCTGTTCACAGCAACGAACCGGGTGTTTCCAGGCAAAACACGTGAAAGCTTTAAAACATGACCCAGTAGCCCATTTAGCACATGAGGTAGTATTCAACCAATGTACAGCAAACGGAAAACAAGAGAGGACGTATTCCGTCGCGCATGGAACGCATTTGTAACGGGACGTGTACCCCTGGAGACTATGCCTACCATTTTCCACTGCACTCATTCGGTGTTATTCTCTACCCCCGGCGCACTAGGGCAACAACGTGCTGCATTGCTCAACAAGCACACGATACACCGCGTCGCCGAAAAAGTGGTAGGCACAATGGGTTGATCATGAAAAATAATATCAGCCAAATTCATACATTTCTGAGGGCGCGGGTCTCTCTCTTTGTTTCGAGTCTGCAACTGTGTGTCAGACAAGACATCCCTCGAACATAATCATACCTCTGATTGCAGAGCTTTTCCAATAAGTGGCTCGTCTGGCCAAATCAACCCGTCATATGCCGCATGAAAGAGTTCGTGGCTGACTTCCGCCACAGCTTTGGTTGGATCAGTAGAAAGCATGACGCGCGCGGT